TCATGATGTAAACCTTGTTTGTAGATTTTTCCCGAACTGCATGCAAGTCTTGTTTATACCTGTAGCCCCCTGGCAACCTGTAGAATGATGTAACTGGAGGGGTCTACAGTATATTTTGGTCCAATACCACTCAAGGACTACAAAGTAAGTGAAGGAGTAATAATTCAGGGGTACACTTGCTGAGCTACCCTAGGTTATTTTGCATGTAGATTCAGAATCTGCAATAATATTCTGAGTTATACTTAAGGTTCAGAAGTTATTAGGAGATTCTGGTTAAAAAATGTTATTTTCCATTATTTATTTAATTATTTAAAATATTGCAATGTAAAATGTACTGTGTAATAATGTCTCTATTATAGTGCTTCCACTTATTTAAATAGTATATTTTATTATTTTAAATGTATGTACATATATAAGTAATAATATCTCTAATTTATATGTAAAATGCTATGTTCAGGCTGGCTCTGATTAGTAGCAGGCTGACACTTTCTTTGGTACCCGCCAAGCTGACGCTGGAGGAGTTGCAGGAGCCTTGTAAGGCTTAGAAGCCTCATGTCTCTTCCAAACAGCCGGGTCGGACTCATATGCTCCCGCAAACGTCTGCGAAGATACAGCCGGGGGATACCAGGGCTGAAGCGAACCACACCCCACCTTGAAACTCGGAGAGGCGTCCAGTGCCGCCTGACTAGACGTAGCCCTTGAGGGCTGAAAGGAAGCCACAACATGTTGTATCGGCCGACTAGAATCCCAAGGTATCAATGCGCCATTTGGAAGGAAGAAGTTTGTTCCCTTCTGCTCAACCAAGTTATCCTCCTTATCCTTCTGAAGCTCACATCGGGCCATTCCTTGTCCTTCCCGATGACAGTAAAAACACACCATCGGCTGTCTGGATCCTTGAGGGGCTTTGCTGGAGACAGCCGCTAGCTTCTGCTCGATTCTCTGCTCAAAATGTCAGCTTGCTACTATAGCAGAGACAACCTGTCATAGTACACAAACACTTTAGAAAATACAAAAAAGACATTATTATGAATAGGGCAGGAAATAAATGAGAAGATGAAATAATAAGAGTATTATTTCTCAATATTCTTAATCTATATGAAGAATAACCTAGGGTAACTCACTCAAAGGTACCCTATATTTCAACTACTTCATGTGGGAAATCTACATTAAAGATATAGAGTGTACCTTCAAGCAGGAGATGAAATATGCTTATGATTATAATTAAATATGCTAATAAACAGGTTTAAGACCTGAAACTGATTTGTTGTTTCAAACATACATTTGTATATTGATAACACGTGTGTGGCACATTTCCAAGGAAATAGCCACATGTTTCAGCTTTAATCTTCCACAGAACACCTGTGGCACATTTCCAAGGAGATGGTCACATGTTTCAGCCTACATGCATGAAGCACCCACAAGTTGACCCTGATCTCCCAGATCCCTCCACGGGTATATAAAGAGCCCTCTGTCCACCCAAAACCAGATTCCTCAGATTATTACAACCCACTTTAGATTACCCACCGTCCCAAATGCTTAACATTTGTATCTGTCTGTTAATGTATTGTCTCTTGCTTTAATTCTCTGTCTATCAGAACCTCAAGACTTTAGGGGCTTTATTAGTACATAATGCCCCCTTCTTTCTTGAGATTCTTACTACTTTCTTCTGGGATTTAAACCACACCTGTAACCAGGCCCCAGTGTTATCAGGTACCTAATCATCTGCTTTTGCACGGTACCTTTGAGGGATTAAACAAACCCTGATTTATCAGGCCCCTCTGTTTAAATTATATCAATAATTATTAGTATAATTAATCACATCTACTATCTAATAACCTTGTAATTACCAATCATCATTGGAATTACCACCCAAACTCTGCAGTTCCAGAGCTCGAACTCTGTCATCTTAAGTTTTGCACCACGTGTAGCTAGAAGATTTACCATCTTGGCATCACGGTGGCTGACACAAAAGCCTCAAACATTTTAGACAACTCGTCCATTGACGGTGCCGGCTTGGATGGTTGAAGACCCTCTTTGGGGCGACAATCATCCTCCATCTTCTTCATGACTCGATTCCCGTCTGAGAAGGATGGCGACGGAACCACCTCAGATGTCCTAGAATCTTCAAAAGTCAATGCGGTCTGTTCCTTCATCACGCTGTCAACCCCCTCTCGTAGAATCTTGAAATTTGGTAAGTTGAACCGCTTGTCTAAAGTCGTCACCATGGTGCCGTCGCGGATCAGTTTTTTACGGATCTCGTTCTGAACAGCTGCCAAGAACGCTTGGTAGTAGGAATTCCGGATCTCTTCAACGGAATCGATATGAGCCTTCGCCAAGAGATACGACTGGATTGGCTCCCAGACCTTCCGAAACAATTGATAGTCGGCTGCGGACAAAACTCCTTCCTTAGACAACCACTCCTCAACCAGCTTGTCCAGATCGCGTGTCGTAAACTTGGCAGTATCGACCTGCCCCCAATATGCAATCATTGCGGCCTTCAGCTTGGGCCAATCAGGTGGGCTGAAACCATCCAGCGTTTCTAGCACGTCCAAAAGCTCGTCGCTCGAAACAAAAAGCCTGATTTGCTTGGCCATATCAAGCTTGGTAGCCTCGTCCAAACCGGCTACTATCTCATAGGTCTCCAAGAACCACTCGACTTTGGTTCCATTGAAGCAGAGTTGCTTATTCGGCGACTTGATTTTGACCATCTTGTTTTTCCTGAAAAGCAATCGCGAACAACAGAGACGGCTCACAGCGTGGCGAGTGATGCTTATAACAATACGTAGAACGCTTGGGAGGTGCTACTATGGATGGGACTTACTTTTTTCTTCCCTATGCCCACGCGTAACACTAAAAAGAAGAAACGAAACAGAAGAAGAAAAAAAAATTCCTAGTCTTGATCCAAATCCAACAAGAACCGGATCGCCTCCTGAACTCGCTGGAATCAAATATCGACTCCCAATTCAAATAACTCTTGAATGCACGGTCCTGTCGAAATGATTTTGAGCTCAAACAAAAGCTACGCTCAATAGCTAAAACCTTGTCCGCTGCCACGTTCCTCGAATACGAACCGTTCCCAAAGAATTTTGACTTAATCATTCGATATCGGCAATTGATAAGTGAGGAGGACGCTGAGGCCGAGCTCCAAAGATGACAAATCCAAACCAGAGATCCAACGACAACTAGTCCACCGACAATTGTCCTGCTGGCACCCTTGTGTTCCGGTTTACTTGATTTCCTCTCAAAAAAAAAGAAAAGGCGCGATCCTCCAAGAAATGAACCGCCAGCCGTCTGAATCCTAAGACGAGACTGTAAATCTTGAGGTCGCTGGTTTGATCCCGGCTCGGGGGACCAAATATGGAACTCCTACGGTGTCAGACCGGAGGCAGTTAGGTGAGGGGATGGTGCTGAGTGAGCTGCCCTCGTGGTGGGGTCCGTACAAGTCGAGTGTGATCTAAACCAGTTGCCAGGGCATGTGATTCTAGAAGACAGTGGAAGAGTACTTCTGTGGCGATTGAGTTGTGTAAGTTTACTTTAGATTTGAGGTGTATGAAAATCCGGGGTAAGAATATTTAGGAGGAACTCGAAAAAAAAAACCCAATCAATTGTATCTAATCTTCAAATCAGAGGTATCTGGAATATCAAGATCAATTAGGTTTGATGGTATTTCCCTTGGATCAGAGCAAAGTCCCATGCCCCCCCATCGTCTGAGTTCAGATTGAACTTAAACTCTGGGGAAGTGACATGTCACAGGACATGTCATCACATCCCTGACTACAAACCTGAACAGAAGACAGGAAGACAAACACCAAAACAAACACAACCCAAGAAGGAAAAGACAAATCAACAACCTGACTGAGACACTCCAGAGCCCTAAGAAAAGAGAAGAAGGAAAACAAAACTATAGGAAGAACAAAACAAAACAGCACAAACACAACATGAATCACAAATAAATCAACATGAATAAAAACTCATGCCTTAGGACCAAGAAACATGAAACAGCTATTTTTAAACAAAACAAACAAAAGGAAACCTGACCTAAAAGTCTGAATAATAAAAAAATGAAATAGGAATTAAGGTCATAATCATAGGAAAATTAAGCAGGGGTTTTGAGCCTAGAGTCTTGATCTTGCAGGTGTTGAGAAACTTGAAATTCTTTTATCTTGATGAGGGCTTGTACCATTAGATTCACCACACCGGAGGAAGCCGGATGAAACCCTAAGGCCATTGGGACCAGGTACAGTCTTGGGGATGGTCATCAAAACCGGGTCTCAGTGGCCATCCCTCCAGTGCAGTCTCAACAACTGGAGGGATCCCTCCAGCGGTCAAGACTGTACCCGGTCCTGATGGCCAGAGGGTTTCATCCAGCTGCCTCTGGCCATTGAGAAGTCTCAACAGCTGGAGGGATACCTCCAGTTTTCAAGACTGCACATTGTCTTGATAACTGGAGGGATTCCTCCAGTTGTCAAGACTGTACACTGTCTCGATGACTGGAGGGATTCCTCCAGTTGTCAAGACTTTACACCGTCTCAAAGGCCAGAGGGTTCCCTCTGGCCTCAACAAAGCAACCAGATTAGTTCAGCAACCCATGTAGGACACCAGCTGGTGTCCTACGTCATGGGTTGCTGACACCTTTGTTCAGCCCAACACACCCAAAAAAGGGAGTGTTGGACAGCTGATGATAATTTCAATTCTTTAGGGGAAGCATTCCCAGGGCGGGTGTAAGGTGGGTACCCGGGTACCTGCCTTTTTTTAAGCCAAATGTTGACACCCAAACCAGTTTCTGGGTCCGCTTTGGAAAACAGTTCCCTGCAAACGGGTGCCGGGTACCTGCTGACATCTCTAGATGAAGTGTTTCTCCAAATGGGGGTAAGGTCGTTTCCTCAAACAGCAGCACATGTGAGAAAACAATCAGATTGGTTGTTGTAAAAACTGACCCCTGTGGTACACGTTTTAGGTCAAAATTGATTACTGCCAAAAAAAAAAAAAATTGCAAATTGGCAGCCTGCAGGCAGCTATGGTACACGCCCTTAGTATGCTGGCTTTCCTCAGATTCCAAATAGTCCGGCCAAACATTTGGCCTATCCACACTTTCCTCACCACACAGGATATAATAGATCCACAAATATGGTGTCTAAAGCTGGGTTGTGGTGAGAAAGTTCTGTCATAGCTTGCCATGGTTGGACAGTAGCATGTAGGGTTCAGGTTTAGAGGTCTGGAAGATGTGAAAAAACTGTGTAAGGAAGTCTGATAGCTTAAGCTAGTCACTACCAATATGGTTCAGTGCCTTGTACTAAGATGCTCTTATCAAGAGAGCTTGCTCTTCTAATTAGACTCATGGTTTGCAGGATCCAATTTTGTTCATATGTGGAAAGGTAAGACTTTTTTCTCACTAATTCCACAGAAACATTCATGTCAGATAGTTAAAAGAACGGAGAAGTAAAAGCACAAGGAGTTGGTGTGTTCTTGATAACTTTTGTTGAGTGTGATTTGTGTAAAGTTTGCATTTGATTAATTCTTTTGCAGCCTGCATGGCCCTCGAAATGTGTGATCTGCAGACAATTTGAAACTTGTTACAGTACTCCCAATTTAAGCTCTTGTGCTGGTAGTTGCAGTCTCTTCGGATAAAGCGATGCAGGTGGAGTAGATACCGTCGGATCGGATGAGTCAGCTACATACATAGACGGTTGTTCGGTTAAAACGGTCAAGACAACTCAGAAAAGAAAGGAACACTCAACCCTACATAAATACTAACCACAACCACTATAAACCTCAAAACCTCATCGATCATCACTTACATCTACTCCTCTTCCCTCCACCACAACCACAACCAACTACTACGACAGATACACTTACTAGATCACTGGATTCTCATCCGACCTGGTCGTCGTCAGTCTTGAATAATATAACAATCCAATCCAGCACAGACATCCTTCCATCCGACTTCATTAACAGACAAGATCCCTGGAGCTGTCGTCATCATCGCTGGTCATTCATTCAAAAATCGAACACAACTCCAAGATCTCGAACGAGCTTCTCAAGAAGCCAAAAGAAGCTCCAGAAATCAAAAGAGGAAGAAGAAAACTTGGATCGGATCTCGGCGGGAGTAAGAAGGCCTTCATCACCAGACAGAGCTCGATCATTATTATAAACAACGAAAGATGTCGCACTCGAACTCGACAACAATGCCGACTGGCTCATCATCATCTTCCTCAACAACCACAACCGGTGGTGGTGGACCGTCTACTACCAACAACAACAATAACAATCCCCCATCATCGAGCTCTCAAAGTGAAGATAAAAACTCAGTGGTCATCAAAGTACGATCACCATCACCACCATCACCATCATCATCATCATCATCATCATCATCACCATCATCATCTTACCAAACACATTATCTCATTATGTTTTGTTCCTTTCGTTTTATTAGGTCGGAATGGTTGGAGATTCGCAGATCGGTAAAACTAGTTTAATGGTCAAATATGTCGAAGGAAGTTTTGATGAAGATTACATCCAAACACTAGGTCAGTCGCAGATCTCTTCTTCATCAAGACCCAAACAGAAAATTACAAACAGAAAAGCTGACTAAAAAAGATATGCAGGAGTGAATTTCATGGAGAAGACGATTTCGATCAGAAACACGGAGATAACGTTCTCGATTTGGGACTTAGGAGGCCAAAGGGAATTTGTGAACATGCTACCATTAGTCTGTAACGATGCAGTAGCGATCCTGTTCATGTTCGATCTCAGCAGGAAGTCCACATTAAATTCGATCAAGGAATGGTATCGTCAGGCTAGAGGTTTCAATAAGGTTTGTCTCTTTCTCTCTTCCTTATTCTCCTCATCCTCCTTTCAATAACAATACTGACCCTTTTACTTTCGACTTGAAAGACGGCGATTCCATTTCTAATCGGAACGAAATACGACCATTTCGCAGCGTTCTCAAAAGATGAACAAGAAGAAATCACACGTCAGGTAAACACTCTTCTTTTTTTTTCTCTCACAAAAAACTAAAACTGACTTCGACATCGATTCTGATTTTGATTGGTTAGTCCCGGAGATTCGCAAAAGCAATGAGAGCACCATTAATATTCTGTTCAACTTCACACTCGATCAATGTACAAAAAATCTTCAAAATCGTTCTTTCTAAAGCATTTGATCTCAAGGTAAAGAAACAAAACATCATTTCCCCAGCCTCTCCCCTTCCCTATGATCATCGTACTAAATCTTCTTTTTTGTTTCCATGGGATGATTCTTGATTGCAGTGCACGATACCTGAAATCACCGGTAGTGGAGAACCTTTATTGATTTATCTTGATGTTTGATTACTCTCTTTACTTCCCTCATCATCTGAAAAATCTATATTGAAAAAAAAATCCAGGCTTCTGTTTGTTTCTTCTTTGCTGTTTTTGTTTTGCTTCCTTATCATTATTATTACAATTGTTCTATCAATTCCTTTCCATTCAAACGAACTAACAAAAAAAAAAAAACAGAAAACAGAAAACAGAAACAGAAAAAAAGGTGGAGTTGGGGAGATGAAGTTAAACTTTGGGGGGTACAGTATATAAACTTGTTTAGTTTCTTTTATTTACTTGTTTATTTATTTGTATTGAATTGATACTTCATTTTTTTCCTAACTTATTGTTCTGATTGATGGCACTTCTAAATACATTCCTTTTTTTATCAATATTGTTCTTCTATATAAAAATAGATAGAAAAGTATATTTTGATGATTTCTTCATTCACTTCTCATTTATTGATTGATTTACCTGATCATGATATTGATTTTCTTGTTTTTTTTTTTTCAAACACACACACAAATAAATAAACATAACCCCCTTTTACATAGGGTAATAACATAAAAGTCTTGACTTGTATTTTTGGGGGGGTTAAGCGTATGAACATAAACTCCACAAAAAGAACAAAAAATGATGAACTCAGTAGGATGGTTCATGACTGTCTGAACTCTGAGGCAAACTTAATGCCACTTATCATTAAAATTTTACAAACTCAAGAATCTCAAATTGTACCAAACCTGATGATTTATGAGATTTGACAAAATTCATAAACTTTTATCTATAAATGTGCTAAAAGTTGCCTTGAACTTAAGATGTGAACTGACCTAGTCAACAAAGAGAAAAATGTAGCAAACAGAAAGGAAAAGCATTTGAAATTCAATATACTGGAGCTTAGAATTCAATAATCACTTGCAGCTGTTAGGAGGACATCTCAAAGTGGAATTTGGAAAACCTGGCAGAGAAAACCTCAATCTCTCTCATGTACAGTGGGTGGACCGTTATTTTTGGCTGCTTGTTTTGGTGTCTACAGCTTCAAAGCACAAACTCAAAGTCACAAGACTTGGTGAATTGGTGCAGAATAGGTCCCAAAGAATGAATATGAAAAAATAAAAACAAAAAATTAAGTTTCAAAATTTGTGAAAAATAAAAAATAAAAATGTTTTTTTCCAAAAGCTTTGTTATTGATTTTGGGGGAGTGGGAGTGGTGAGAGACAGAAAGAGGGGAACATTGTCAGAATGATTATAAATGAAAAAAATTGGAACCAAAAAAGGTTTGGCCAGGTTGGTTGTCCAGATTGGAGCCAAAACAGTAAATTCTAGTGCTTGACTGCAATGTGGGCTGGTGAATGCCCCAATCAACAACTCTTTGAAGCCATCTGGAAAGCAATTTTTCCAAAATTTTCATTCATAATCATTTTTCTAATATCCCAATCTTCCTTTCTCTCAGCACTCTCAATTCCCCAAAATGAATTTCAAAGCTTTTGAGAAAAATAAATTTTATTTTTTACTTTTCACAAATTTTGAAACTTTGTTTTTTGGTTTTATTTTTTCATATTCATTCTTTGGGAACTATTGTGCACCACTTCACCAACTCTTGTGACTTCAAGTTTGTGCTTTGAAGCTCTGGAATCCAAAACAAGCAGCCAAAAATAATGGTCCACCCACTGTACACTGATACTATGAGGCTGCTGTCACTGTAGTTCTTAGCAAATTTCATAAACCTTCAAGCAGAAGTCTTATTGTCTGAATTCAACAAAGTGTGATTGAATTCATTTCCCACCAAATCCAGAGGGACTTAGTTAAGATGATAAAGCATTGGGAAATGAATTCAATCACAGTTTGTTGAATTCATTTCCCAATGCTTTATAATCTTAACCAAGTCCCTCTGGATTTGGAAGGGTAGCTATCCTGCAAAGATCCTCTAAAAAATCAAGAAATCCATTCAGCAGAAACACTTCAAATACAGATTCAACAATGAATGAGGTTCATTTCAAAATCATTTAAGATTCTTGAGGAAGACGGCTTTGTATTTCTAATGACCGAGGTAATCTTAGACTGTTCATCAACAGAATTCTGAAGGCCCAGTGTTACCATTTTGTGTACCACCAGGAGATCCACAGCATCAAGTAGAACTGTCAAGAAGAAAAAACAGGTCCTACTAGGAACACTTGCAAGAGAGAAACCAAGGGTTTCCAAAAATGGATCACTATTAGCCACAATCCAGACAATACCAATCTTAAAATATAGAGCAAATTATAAACAAAAAAATCACATGAAAAACCATGTGATCTCAAGCCCATAAATCCCTCTATTTGAAGGGGAGGTTGAAGTGGATGGCCAAGATTTCAAGAGTAGATTGTTAGGTCAACTAAACCTGGGGCTAGCCTGCCAGGTCAATGTCTGCCAAGTTTAGCAGATGTAAGCCTGAAACAGGCTGAAATTGACTTTCAAGGTTGTTTACCCAAGGTTATAAGCCCGGGGCCAATGTGATTGATTGCCGGTTGGGCCAACTTGCAATAATTTGGCAATGCAATGCGAATGTTCAAAGGACCAATTTATGTTATCTAAATAGTACACTCCTTTAGGAGTTACCATCCCAAATTGAGTGCATGTTTTAGGATAACTCTAGTACCCAATATAATAAAATGAGAATGACATGGATGGCCTTATTTCCTCAATACAGGATATATACTCTCTTGAAAATGGTAAGGAATTTTTCTCCAATATATACCAACTCCGTTTTGCCTGCAGTAACACACCAGATGGTTCCTTGAAAGAGCCTGATGATTACATAAGATTGACAGCCTGATGATTAGCCTGTTGATCTTAATTGTGTATACAGTTGCGGACGGCAAAAACCGACCCTGGATTTTCAGGATGTCCGAATAGTTGGCCAAAAATTTCAGTTTTTTTTTTTTGAAATTTCCAGCATTATGAGCTGTTTGTAGCCTCCAGAGTGTAGAAAAAATACACTAGAATAGTAGATTAACGGTGAAAGTAGATGGTGAGGGTGTACAAGTAGTATAAAAGCATGTTTATGTACCCCTTAAAGCCATAACTATGGGTTTAAGTATGGCTTAATCTGTGCATGTCCGATTATATGTATGTGGAAATGAAAAAAAAATTGAACCAATCACTCAAAACCTTAGTGATTACAATTTTGAACTCTACACATCTGTAGAAGTTCAAAATTGTAATAAAATTAAGTGTCAGGGCACATGCCCCCTGGGGCATAGCCCCCGCGTGTCCAATTTGGATTTTGCGGGCGGGGCATGGTCGGTCTATGCCGTACGCAACTGTACAATCAAGAATATACTCTTTCAAAACAGCTCGATCTTTTCTTTGATGAAGTGTTGCATCGTACAATTAGGCCCCAATTATAAACCAATATTTTGAATTTTTGGTTTTTCTATTTGAAAACCATTTGAAAATGGAAAAGAAATGAAAAAGAAATCAGAAAGAAGTTTGAATATTATTTCAAAATACACTCAAACACTATGTACAATTATAAAGCAGTAGCATTGTTAGGCCTAGATGTGTCATCGGGCAGGGTAAGCTATCAAGTAAAGCTGGTGTGGCATGGCCCAAGGCCCCCAGGTGAGTGCAGGGTCTACCATCTCTGATTTGTCCCCTGCTAACCATGGTTGGATCGATGGATGTAGGGCCCCGGCACCATGTTGCATTGCGGTGTGGGATGTCTGCTCCGGGCCGGATGAGCATCTGCCAATCTTACCTGAATTTCAATCACACATGGATGTACAGACAGAATCTGGGTATGGATTTCAATTATACAGGGATGTACAGACACAAACATCGGTATTGTTTCTCAAGATGATGTTTTTGAGATTCAAACCACCTCTGGAGGAGGTTTGAATGGTTTTGAGCTCGGTTTTGAAATGAAAAAGAAAAGGAAAAAAAATCAAAACAAAGTTGCAACACTTTCCAAATTATTTCAAATACATTTTGAAAAGGTGTTTATAATTGGGGCCTTAAGCGCTACATAGATAGTAGAGGATCAAGATGGTCGTGATGTGTTGGCCGTCACGGTCTGGTCACTGGTGATCGTGAAACGGGGGTTAAACAAAGTGGGTGGGGTGTGACGTGGCAAGCCATTGAAATAATATTTGAAATTCGAAATCCCCCGGGTGCTCTCTAAACAGACCCCCTCTTTCACAGCACTCCACCCAGAGACCCAGCCCCACGACAAAACACACTGCCAAGCTGTGAGTCAGAGAAGAACCACAACAACACTCTGCCTCAAACAGTCAACAACAACATCAACCCAGGATCACCATCCTCATCATCCTGTCAGGTATGTTTAACTTTCCTACCATCACCCCCATCAGCATCATCGACTCGATCATCAAAAACAGAGCTTATTCGGGGTTTCATCCGCCTTCCGTTTTCCTTACACACCCAATCCGTCCTGCTCTATATACAAGTGTTCTCGATTGAAACCCTGTACAGAGGATACACGACATCACCCTTAAAAGCTAAATTTAAGGATGTCTGAGGTTTTCGATCTCAAAGCTTAATCGGACTCCAATCACAGACCCCCCACCCTCACCCTGCATACTTTTACATCAATCCTTAGTCTATCTGACCCAAGAACAAAGCTTCCTCGTGCATTCATCTAACCATCCTCATCATATTCATTTGTACAGGAAAAAAAAAACCCGATGGCATCACCGCAGATCAACGTCACCCCAGCCTCGCCCTACAACGGTCAACAGCAACAACAACAAGCCCCAGGAAGCACGATGCGAAGACAAGCAACGGGCAGTCCGAATCCATCAGGCGGAGGAGGAGCGGGAGGAGGATTACCAGGCAGTCCAGGTGGAGGAGGCGGGTTCAGTTACCCATCTGCGCCGTACACACAAACCGGCTCACCCAGTCCATCGGCCTACACTCCCATCGGAACCACTAACTCGTACATCAGTCATCCTAATATAGCCCATCAACGTCAATCCAATCATCCCAATCTGGCCAACGATAGTAACCCGAACTCGTTTCTGGCTAAGATTCAGCTCTGGTCGGCCTCGATCGAAGACTTCATCGAACTCTACTCGCATCCTATTAAGCCTTATCTGCCCGGCCTCGGCAGATTCTTGATCGTGGTGACCTTCTATGAGGACGCTTTACGGATCGGTACTCAATGGGAAGATCAGCTTTACTTCTTACACGTTCGTCTCTTACTGCTTCTTCTTCTTCTTCCATTCTCCGATCTCATCTCTTGTACTTTTGCCTGCCTTTTCAGAAACATCGTCACTTCCCCTGGGGTCTCAGTCACGGCTTCCTGATCTCTAACGTAGTCGTAAGCCCTTCACAGAGTCATTTTTCATAACATCCGCATGCTTCTGACCAACGAAATATGAAAATCGTTTTCGCATAGGTGATGGTCGTTTGTTCGACCTTAATAATAGCGAAGAAGTATCCACTATCATCAGTATTAGGGCTATTGGGAGTGGTCATTTCGCAAGGAGTAGGCTACGGATTAATCTCGGACCTCAATTTTTTCCTACGCAACCTATCGGTGATCGGTGGATTATTGATGTGTCTATCAGACTCATTATCGAAGCGAAACAACCCGAAAGCGAATGCGATTTTTGCAGGATTACCGAACACATTGGGTACGGAGACAGAGCGCCGAACGTATCTTCAATTAGCCGGACGAATCCTACTCGTCTTGCTCTTTGTTGGCTTCCTCGTTAGTGGAGAGTTTACTCCGGCTAGGGCTGCCGTCTCTCTCATCGGTCTCGTCGCTAGTGCTATGGTCGCTGTCGGGTTCAAGGCTAAGTGGTCCGCCATGTTCTTGCTCCTCGTCCTCTCCGTCCTCAACATTGTCGTCAACAATTGGTGGTCCGTCCACTCTGCCCACCCCCATCGTGATTTCTTAAAGTAAGCCCCCCCCTCTCTCTTTCTTTCTCCTCCATCTCATCGCTCATTGGTATTGTTTGTCTTGGTATAGGTACGACTTCTTTCAAACCTTGTCGATTGTTGGAGGTCTCCTCCTGTTGGTCAACATGGGCCCTGGTGGAATCTCTGTGGATGAAAAAAAGAGTCAGCCTTTTAGCTTTTGGATTCAATTGATCTTGATCACTCAACTAACACCCTTCATTCAATTCTTTATACAGAGGTCTTTTGATCATCAACTCTACTACAACAAGCATTCAAAAAAATTGTTTTTTTTTCTCTTTCTTTCTCCTTTATCATCATCAATAACATATCTCTTCCTCTTTTCTCCTCCTTATTTTTCAGGTTTTCTGTGATACAATGTGATTTTCTTTTTTTTCTTTATTCCATGCTATGAGAAAAAAAATGTTTAGAATGATTTGATCAAATCAGCAGAGAGGAATGAAAAGGCACAAAGCATTTGTTTGAATGAAGGGTGGGAGGGGTGTGATGAGATGCCCATGTTACCCTCCAGCTTGCTGATCAGTCTCTGTCAATTGCATAAAGTGCAGGAGAGGCTTGTGCCTAAACTGAACATGCTTGCTTGTTGTAATCATGTTTTTCAAGTTTCTTTTTTGCACTAGTTAAAAAGATTGGAAATACCACATCCACATTTCTCCACCAGAAAATTGTTACTTGAGGTGGATGTGCTCAAGATGGAGAACCATGATGCATCAAGAAGAAAAATAAAAAAAATATGTAGGACTATGTACTGGACTCCTGGAGCAAACTTACCAAGTCCCTCCGCCTGCGGCTCCTGTAGAACAGACAAAATGAAGATGTGTCTGGTGAGATTTGAACTCACAACTTCAGCTAAGCTGAGACACATACACCACGGTCATTTGGGTGTTGCTCCACATGTAAGCAACATCCAGACAAATCCATGTGCATGACTGCGGCAGTAGGCCCAGTGACTGCGCATGAAACCCCCAGATGTTGCTCCGGCCGGGAGCAACATGCAATTGTCCTTGGTGATACTAGAGCGCTGCCTTTACCAACTAGGGTACAGATGCTTGTGACTGCCAGGGTAGTTGGGTGGTAGTGCTCATGGTTTGACATGTAGTGATACATCATGGTAGCAGACAATCAGACACCTCAACAGCTCCTGCTGGAGGGACTTATGAGGATTTCTGGCATGAGAGTTTTTCCAGTTTTGCTGGTGTTCAACTTTGGACCTCCACAGCACACCCTAGATAGCACACCACTTTAATCTAAGTTTTCAATATATCTATCATTGGTCTACTTCTTTGCTTTCTTCTCATACAATTTGAAGCCATATCACCCATGTCTTCATGTTTTTTTCTTCTTCTTCTAACAGGTTGGGTTTCTTGATGTTCTTGATAATGTGACCAGATGACAAGACAATGGTCCATGCATATGTACTCACGAAAACAACTGGAATCGATTTCTTGTTTGTTTAAGTTTTTAAGACTGCGCAGTCAAGCTACAACAAATCAAATAATATGTACATTGAAGGGAAGAACTCTTCCTGAAGACAAACACATGAAAGTACATGCATGGTGACCAGCTCAAGAATTGCTACACCAAAACATGCTTATGTGTGCATTTTTGGAAGACCTTCCTGTGGAAGCTTGCTTTGCAAGTGGCACCTGCCAGCCCAGGTCACCAGGCCTGCAAAAGAATGGGGCTTGCTTCAATTGAATTTTACCCTCCATTTCCATTTCTTATCTCATCACTAAATTTATGTTGATTTATTGTGTGCTTCCAGCTCACAATGGGCTGCTACACTACACTACGCTAAACAGCCTGCTACTGCTAGCATAGAGGCCCTCAAAACAGTGCACCAACCCGTTAGTGTTAGCACCCTGTTAGTGCCATTACCTACAGTGCTTTTAGTGACAACAAAAAACCTGAAATGCACTTTAGCACAGCATATTGGGGCCTTTTTTGTGGACTGAATGCACAGTGTTAGCGCAGGCCCATCAGGAATCCACTACACTTTGCTACACTACCCTGTGCTAATGCTGCAATTGGTGTAACTGGTCCATCATTGATCTGGCCCGTTTCACTCTACCTTTCATACTCTGTGACATATCTTCTGATATTATATACTGGAGATAGCTAGTGGGAAGGCTTCTCATTTTTCTTCATCATTTTCTATCACCATTTCTTGCTGTCTCCAGGTTAGTCATTTTTCTGTTCTGTTTTTCATCTTTCTTTCTATGTTGAAATCAGCAGACATCCTTTCCTATCACTCTTTCTTTCTGTCTGCAGGGTGTTCATCTCAACAGGGGAGACAAAGCACAAATTTCAAAGCAAGTGAAGAGAAACAGATCAACAATCTGTCTTGAATTCCATCTTTATGTCCTTCTTTTCTTCTTTTATCTCATTTTTCTTTTTTGGTTGTTGCTTTTGTTTTCTTCTTTTGTGTTTGTATTTTTTCAAGTTTTTGTTTTTAGCTGGTTATTGATTAAGCGTCACAGACATGCAGAGTCAGGATCCAAGAGGGTCAGGTTGACCTGCTGGGTCATGCTAGAGGCTCATGGGGCTTTTTGAGCAGGCTAGGGTTTGAAATTGACCAAACCTGGATCCAACCCAACAGGTCAGTGGGGAAGGTACGATCAGGCTGGATTGTATTTGGGTAGGCCTGAGATTGACCCACTTACCTGGTAAAAGTCTGGTTGGAGAGTACATGATAGCCTAAAGCAATTATTTGCTGTGTTGACCCAGACCCAATCCAAGACCTGACCTGACCCAACCCAAGGCACTGTGTATTTGGGCTAGGTTCAGTCAACATTTTGCAATTTTTGCCCTGACCCTCCCCACTCCATGTTTGGTGGGTTGGTTCCAGTCACCACTTCTTGACTCAAACCAAGCACATTTGGAACCTGAATGCAGAGAGGTGGCCAAAGTCACAAGCTGAGCAGAGACCAAGCTGTGCACTTGTGGCCAAGGTGACACAGAGGAAGGTGATAGAAGTATCCCAATAAATACCTGGAAGGGAGCCCTCTGAGAGCACTAACAAGAGATTAACCCAAATTGACAAAAACCAGACTTCAGAAGCAAGAAGCAACAGGGTGTGATGACTAGAAAAAAAATACACCCAGCCCTACCTGGAACTGAAGGGAGCCCTCTGAGAGCACTAACAAGAGATTAACCCAAATTGACAAAAACCAGACTTCAGAAGCAAGAAGCAACAGGGTGTGATGACTAGAAAAAAAATACACCCAGCCCTACCTGGAACTTCCAACAGGCAAGAGGCAAGTCTTCCAGCCCTCTTGGGACAGCTGGGGGGCAGGGAAGAATGCTTACCAAACCCATAATTTGTAATCTTGGGAAGCATCAGGAAGGCAATGCTCCTAGGCTCACCTAGGTGGACCTTCCAGAGAGCAAGGTTCTGAATCAAGCTGTGAAAGAATCTACAAATGTTGGAAAGCCCCTGTCAGACAGTAGCCCATGTGTCTACAACCTGTACTTAACCAACAAACACATGTACTGTAGTGTATTGGTTAAGGACTGTGTTATGACTTTGCCTCACCAACACACTTGGGTTCAAATCCCAATTATGTAATCTTAAATTTTTTTAATTTTATTTTTATACTTTTATGCTTTAAGTAATTCCACGGAATTACTTAAGTATTCACCTCTGTATTAATATTCATATTTTATATACATACAGTCTGAAATCTTAATCATCTCTCTATACACTGTAATTAGAGAGATGACATCATTCTTTCTCCTTTGAGCTTGAATGACATCATTTCCTCCACTTCTGGTTTAAATCTTAATTTAAATACATATTCTGATCATTTATGATTATATACATAAATGATCCTCTGCAGGCCTCACCGGTCTCACAGGCAGGTTGACCCCTGCCTTTGTAATACTTAAGGGGGAGGTCTTCTTCCCAAGAATCCTCCCCCCAGAGATTATTACCATACAACCCGTTTACCTTACTACAACTAGTGAGTGGGGTTTTTATTATAATCTATATTACTGTTATCCCTTATCTTTTTACTACCATCCATCCTATCTCAATCCTAGACTACAGTAAAGTCACTACTGTAGCCTAGAAGAGAGTTGTTTCACACTCTAAGCCCGGCGCTGCGAAGACCTTACCGCAAGCGTCCCCTACATTTACAGGGAGCTTAACCCCTCCGCTTTCCAGCGCCGAGGCAAGGTTTCCTTTCCACTGGCTGCTAGTTAAACACTAGCAGTTATAGTGCGACCATCACCCCATCAACGCCAGGTCACACAAGAGACCGGCGCTGACAGCCCCAGAAGCTGTCAGGAGAAGGGAAAGGCTGGCAATCCTGCAGCACACAAGTCCCAGAATGGATGGTTGTATAAATTGATCAATCCCAATCTCAAAAGAAACCTATCTTTTATACTTATAATTTCTATATACAGTCAAACCCATCTAAGGGCATACCCCTTGTGATAAGGAATTTTGTATGCTATTAAGCTGGTTATGCCCTTATAAGAGGAGGTGAGTTTGCTGCAAAATTAGGATTTGGGAGAAGTACTTCACTACGCTGTGGTATACCTTAAGGGTAGCCATCTGGCCCATTTAAAAATTTTACAGTTTTTTCTTTTATTACAAATTACATACTTTTTACACCTTTTTTCTCATATATACACTCACAAATCAACCATTATGGCTCAAGAACTGGATTCCATGGTCAATTTCACCCTTGGTCACCACTGGAGGCGTCACTGGAACTCAACTGGATTGGAAGCTACACACCCAGGGCACTTCAGAAAAATCAGTGCATCCCAGGGACGCCATTGCACCTGAGATGTCCCTGGGACGGGATGCCGTCCCTAGGACATCACCATTCACAAAAATCAGCGCGGCCCAGGGATGCCATTGTACGTGAGACGTCCCAGGGCCGGGACAACATCCCCAGGACATCATTGTCCCTGCCTGGCATCCCTGTGATGTCCAACTTAAAAATATCATTGCAGTCCAGGGACGTCATTGCCCCTGAGCTGTCCCCAGTTCATCACTGCCCCCCCTGGCGTCTATCTCACGTCCCACACTGACTCAACCGTCACTTAGCCATTCCCACCTGGGGGGCACGGCACCCGAGTCTCCCCATGAGATTACCCAGTGTTCCAGAAGCCCAACCAGCTTCAACACTTAACAGGGGGACAACAGTCATCCCCATAATGGCCCAAAAATTAGAACAATACAGCAAAGTATAACTGTTTGTACAACTTTAGCCACAAATGGAAGTGGAATACAATAAGGGCTTCACCACAGGATAAATATTATAAAAATGATCATTTTTTTTCGGTATCGCACAAAAATTAATGAAACAAGGGTAGAGATCCGGCGTTGTAATTCTCCATTTCTGAGCTTACAACTGGCCCTCAGCAATGGTGAACTTTGATTCCATGAGAATTTGAGGAAGATAAAACCTGGAAAATTTTGAACAATTTAATTTTCATGCTACATACAGGCCCCAAATAAGTCACATCAGTATGAACAAGCCCTGGCCCCTCAGGTGGGCCACTTTGGGGCCTCAAACTGGACCAGTGAGATACAACAAATAATTCAGAGCAGGGAAGGATCAACAACCACAGGCGGCTCCGGTGGTCCAGTTTTGGTACCTGCAAGATGCCATTGAGCCAATCCCTCATGCACCCCTCTGAGTTGTTCCTTACAGTCAACTGCCTCCACCGTTACCCCAGAATAGTTCCTGTGAGCATCCACAGAAGACAACGAAGCCAAATTCACAATGTAGTTGATGTTATCTGTGTGTGTCACTTCGCCCACATAACGACCAATGGCTTCCTGCTCCAACTTCTTTTTCTTTGTCAAGTCAATTGAGCATTGGCCCTTGTGGCAATCGTGCTGAACATTCAGTGTAGAAACCACATCCTATGGAGGTATTAATATCAAAAGGTTAAGGTCTGTCCCCCTACTGATCCAGATCCAGACAGAGCAGTCAACATACTTGAATTCCTACCTTCCGCCCCTGACCGCTCCTCCTGGTCTCCCTCATGTTATAGAATTTACTGATGCCTCCAAACTCGAATGGGGTGAGACATACTACAAATTTGGCCCGCCTTTCCTTCCGTGCTTCCCACATATGATCAATTTGCCCCAACTCCAACCGGGCGCCCTGGTTGAATTTGAACTATACAAAAGATGCCACTCAAAATTATGATTTTCCAGTCTATAGCACTGACAAAACCCAAGCTATCACTCACAAGAATAAAAGAACCAACACGCAGTAGATCCTTCCTTGTGATGTGGATGCCAGGCAATTGCTTGAATGTATGACCTGGAAGTTGAGTGGTCAGGTCAGACGGAATGGTCACGTGTTTGGCCTTGCGAATTCGTTGCCCCCCCACAGTGGGTTTGAAGGGAATTGGATTGTCCAGATTTTCAGCGTTGTAACCCATTGACTTTTGAACTGAAGGACTGTTTGCAAACAGTTCGAGGACCTTGGCAGATGCGGTTTGGTACGCGTTGGCAATGCAGTTGAAGAAGTACCCCCCAGAGACTAGGTGATGTAGATTTCGGAAGTTTGCAAAGGAGATACCAAT